TATAATTGGTCTCCAAGTGTTATAAAACTGGCATTGGGAGCCTGTCACTTCATATTTCCATTTTTCTATATGAAAAATCCCTATTAGCTCCCTCAACCAGGTTTTGAAACTCGGAGGGGAGACCGATTTCCACGATTTAAGAATACACATTTTAGCTATAACCATTCCATAGCCTAATGCAGTACAAGTATTATGTTCCATGTTTTCCAACCTGCCAGAGAAACCAAACAGAGCTATTTCTGGGTCAGCGTCAGCATTTACTTTCAATGCAGTGGAGTACCATTTAAATATTGAACTCCAGAAATATTTCAGTGTTGGGCACAACCAAAACTGATGTGCCAGAGTACAGGGAGTAGCCTTACATCCATCACAGGCACTTAACCTTTGAATAATGTACCCTGTGTAGGACTTTAAAAGTAAGTCAGCTAATTTAAAATGTTATTTCAGATCCAAAGAAGTTATCTATGGTTGCTTAGTAGTTGCAGCTTTGTTGGCTAGCAGGTAGTAACTCACTTACATATTGAATTTAACAAACATAAACACAATTTAAAAAGTAAAAGGCTCATTATCTATTTATATTGGAACTAATACGTATAAAATATAAAGTTGTCTCCCGTGTCACGTGATGCAAGTCTGTTCCATTTAACCGTTTTCTTTGACCAAGGAAGGGCCGTGTCCTCGCAAGGCCAGGCGCCTCGACACTGAAAAACACCCCTGATGTTGCCTTAGCTGAGTCTCATCAACATGATCTAACTGCTAAATGATCACAGAGAGACATGAGGCAGAAGAGACAATTCCTTCATTATAGTTTAAGATTTTCCCTAAAAGCGGTTTGTTTCGAAGTGAGTTGTATTACATTTGTGGATTTTCTAAACTGATTTAACAGCTTTGAAATTCCTTTTATAAGAAAGAATTCCATTCTCCTCCGAGGTTAATTCTGCTCCTCCAACACTCGGATTGGTCGAGTGGACCTCTAGCATGTTTCAGTTCTAAAAGGATGACATTAGTTTTGTATTTTTGAAGTGGTATCTCCTCCCAGCAGCTGCTCTCCCATCATCAGCCCAACCCTGGTCTGCCCCGAGGCCTCCGGACATCATCAGAGCAATGTTTAGAACTATCTGGAACGCTGTCGGGATGTGGATTATGGGAGCTCATCAAGAGGCTGAAAGGTGACCAGATGATCTGATGTGCCACTCTATCAGACCGTGTCCAGGCTGCAGCCGCTGCATCAATCCTCGCAGGCACCCCATCAATATAAATGCAAATCACACAAACTGGTGACTCGGTGGATTAGGATTTAGAGCTTCCCTGTCTATGAAACACGGTGAAAGTTCACCAGTTCATTACGTTTGGGTGATTGCCATGTCTGAAACACAGAGGCAACGAGCTGCCTTCACCCCTGTAATGGTGAGCCACGAGCGTTTGGTGGGATGAAGGGGATACAGAGATGCAGCTGGAGGATCCATCAGAACATTAACATTTAGGAAAATCTGTCCAAAGTGATGTCACTAAATGCTCCAGTGTAGTATTTCTGCCAGAACAGTGCTCTGCTCCAAACCTGATGCTGGTAAAGTTGTGGTTGTTTGAATCTTTATGACATTTTAGATTCCGAATGATTTTAAAGAGCAAGTCACCCCTTACAAGAAGCGTACTTCACTCCCACTTCATGTTTGAAAAATGCAACAAATGCTGTTGCCTAGCAGACCGAGAGGATGGAGCCACTAACAAATACACACACTCATGACAATTGTGACATCATAATGTACCCGTTTACATCATAGCATACCTCTTAGCCAATAGCGATGGCAGATTTAAATTCAAATGCAGTGCAGATTTTTTACCTGACGACGGCACAACACTGCCAGTTTCAGGCAGAAAATTTAAATTTTACCTAAAATGCACTAAAGTGCAAAACTATTGACTACACGTGTCTGCAGCACAACTAGACACACATTTATATAGTTTATCAGAAAAAAAAGTTGATTTGGGGGTGACTTGCTCGTTAAGGACATTTTTCTTCCTCGTGTTCTGCCATGTGGATCTCCACTGCCTCTGAAAACACCCCAAACATGATTCAAACCATCCGTCCATTTTCTGCCAGGGTTTGGTTTCAGGAGTGATGTGCCTAAAACGAGTTGATTCAAAAAGTCCCCGTTTGTGACATCACAATAAGGATAATTGACATAGAGCCCCTCCATAACCTGGAAACACTGAAAGAACAGCAGCTTTGCTCTAGGCCCCTTCCCGACATCCAAGCTCTTCAGCAGCCAATCAGGGGATGGGTGGGTGTGGCCAGCTGCAGCCCACTTGCGTTAATGTGACCTGGAAGGCACTAAAATGAATAGAGTTGGTAAAATAATTTTATGTGTGAGGGGTTTCTGATTTAAGATGGCAGCTTTGGTCTTGTCTGGACAACTAGCTGTTAGCTTGTCAACCTGCTTAGGTCCGCTCTCCATTTCTACAAACTGAGGCCGTTCAAAGAGCAATCTGTGATTGATCCGATCATTTTTTCCCTTCAGTCACATTCTAGAAGATCTTGCATGCACGTATCTGTGCGAATCTCTTGAACGAGCATGTGGTTGAAGATGACTTTAGGCCTAACTGGCTGCTGAAGGATGAGCGTTCCCGCTGAAATTCACGCAGATATAAAACGCGCTGCTTGTCGTGCAGAACTGACCTTTCAGGGCACACACCGATGACGGCCCGTGTTGCAGTTCTGATCCAGCGGTGGCTCAACTCCAATCAAACGGTCTGTTTAAGCTGCAGACCTTTCTCCACTCCACAGATAATTACTCCCATTATTCTATTGATCAAGTGGCGCCTGAAAATCCCTTTAATGTTTCAGCCTCTTTGAATTTAGCAGCTCTCCTGTTGTGTAAGCCAGGAATTCTGTTCAAATGGGTTTTAAGGAGCGCGTGGGCTCAGATTCAGCCCTCAGAGGAATCAAAAACCCACCTGCACCAGACCGAAGAGCAGACCTCTCAGATCTCCATCACCTTCATTGCCTGCTGCACCCTCAGCGAGTTCCTGTGTGAGATTTTAATAAAGTCTTGCCGTTTCCGGCTTCCGTGGCATCTTTGTTTTGCAAACTAATAAATTCGGAGCAGTAAATGAGACCAAGAGGGAACTGTCCCAGTGAGGTGACTTCATCATCTCCTCGGAGATGAACTTCACCTCTACCTGATGTCTCCATGCTTCTAATAGTGATATCATCGCCTTAGGAAGAGTTTAATCCCTAACCCACATAAGGATTGGCTGTAGTCTTCAACATGGACCCATAGGCTGCTGCTGGTACCGGGTCAGAACCAGCCACTGGGAGGATTTGAGGTTCCTTTCAGCTTCAGCTACTGCCTGGAGATTATAAACACCAGTGGTATCAATACAAAGTAAAGGTGAGGATCACTCATTCATCTGTCCTTTTTGCTGTAGATGGAGGAGGTCCCAGGCCTGGGACCCATGGACGACCGACCCCGCCGGGGACTCGACAGAGCCCAGAGATCCAGACCCCACCAGGCAGCCACCAGGAGCGACCCGACAGTTCCCAAAACGTCCCGCCGCCGACACGGGAGCTGCGGGTCTGCAGGCAGACCAAGGCACCAGCCTCCGGTAGGAAAAAGGAGGAGGGTAGGCGAAGATGTCCCAGGAGAGGGGGGGAGCACAAGACCCCACCTGACGTATACACTCCCTCCCTCGTGCTCACACACACACACACACACGCACACACACACACACACACACACACACACACACACACACACACACACACAGACACACACACACACACACAGACACACACACACACACACACACACACGTGCGCGCGCGCAACCTAAACACTTACCAGAGCTCCCCACCTTGTCTCTGGTGCTGAACCTGGTCTCTGCAGGGAAATCATTTTAGTCCTGATACAGATCTCATGATCACAGGTGTCATCCGTAAAGAGTCCTGATCCCTCACTCATCTTTTTCCTGGTCACACTGAAGTCCATCATCAGAACCACGTTCTCTAAGGGACTCCAAGGTTCTCCAACCAGAGCCATGACCAGTCTTTAAGATCTGGCCCATGAAGACCCCAAACAGGAGCGGACACTCGGGACAAACCTGATGGAGCTCAGGAGTCGCCTGATGGTCCAGACTCTTCTTCCACAATGTTTGGTTCCTCTGGTCTTTTGATTAGGAATGCAACTACTGCCCTCTGCTGGTGTGGGTTGACAGTCACAGTTCAGCCATATTTAGGTTAAATCCATTTGTCTATTAAATATTTAATTAAATATCTAAAGAATAATCATTAATAATATCAAGAAAAAAGAGAAATAAACACTAAACTGTTACAAATCTAATATTCCAATAATAGTTCACACCTGATTATGTAATTAGTATATATCAGATATAAATATTAATATTATAAATTAATAATTAACATATAAATATTATTATGAGTTAATAATTAATATATATCAGATATAAATATTAATATTATGAGTTAATATTTAATATATAAATATTATTATGAGTTAATACTTAATATATATCAGGTGTGAATATTAATATATATGATATTCATGCTTGATATTATTACCGTCTTGAATCAAACATCAACTTCTTGACAGGAAGAGTCACAAAAGTCACAGAACTCCCCCTCTGCAGGCCCATTCTTGATCTTTGTGGTTTCACGCCTCCTCGCCCAGGCAGCAGCCGACGTTCTCCTCTTCTTTCCTCCTTCACACATGCACTTCCCTCCAAACTGACCTTTTTTATAGCTTCCATGCTCTTGTTTCTGAGAAGCCAGGCGTGCACGCTTTTAGAGTCTTGGTTCCGACAAACCCAGTCAGCTTGCAGGAGAGGGAGGCCAGCAGGGCTGGAGGTCAGAGGTTTCCTCACCAGCTCAGACTCGAACCATGTCATCAGCGAGTCTGCCCGAGTGGCGTGAGACGCAGCTTCCTTCCTCTGGTTGGTTGAAGAGCTCCATCCGTCTGGACCGAGCCGCCCTCAGGTCCCGGTGTGACCTCGCCCCCTCACCCCTGTGCTCCTATGATATATAATCAGTCTCATTCGCTCACAGAGAGCCGCTGCAGTCACAGGAACCAGAGCTCAGCTCCTCAGGATGACGGGGTTCAACCTGCAAACTCTGATCACATGTGAGTGAACTCAGATTTGGCTTTGATCCGCATCAGCGTCTGTTGGTGTGAGCTTCTCTTAGTGGGTAGAAAATAATCAGGATTATTTATAAAATGATGAGATATTCTCAGGCCATAGACCCGTGCGTGTTCTGGCTTTTGTTTGGTCCTGCTGGTTGTTAGAAGTTAATAAAGTTGAATCGAAGACCAGAGACTACGACAGGATTGGTCTTCAGTGAGCTCAGACGTGTGGTGATGCTTCTGGCAGGAGGCCAAAGACCTTGAGTTTAATCATGCTTCACACACGAGGTGCAAACAGGACGGTGCTGAAAACGATCCGTTTATTTCCTCATTTAAAGACAGAGTTCACGTGGAGAGACTGAAGCGTGCTTCACTGCATCTGAGTGGCTTCCTGCACCTGAACACACTTCCTGCCTCAGCTGATCTTTAAATTGTTTTTCTCTGCAGAAAATGTTAAAATAAAAAATTATTCAGTCTCTTCAAGGTCTTCTCTGCTAAGAAGAACAAGTTATTTCTCTAATTCCTCTAAATCCCGTTTGGCATCCTGAACCAGGCATGCGTTTCCATTTTCTCTATTTTATTTTTTTACACGTCTTTAAAATAAATGAATCATTTATTAATTAACCTTTAAATTAACTGTACTGTAAAAGTTACATTTTTAACTCCAGATTAAAAAGCTGTGCAAAATGTGAAAAGTGTTTTAATTTGCTGATTTCACAATGAAAGAACTGGAAATGAGAGACTAAAACAGAAAAACACTGAATCAAAGGTCAATATTTACAAGTCTAGCTTTCTCTTCAGTTAAATACATAATAATACTAATACTAATAATACTACTACTACTACTAATAATAATAATAATAATAATTATTATTATTATTATTATTATTATTATTATTACTATTATTATTATTATATTCAGGCTTTTATTTAACTTTTAGATGACAGAAGGAAATGAAATGTTTGTTTCAGCACCTTTCAAGCTAAATAAAAAAGCTGCAGAATGAAGAGAAGCTAGTGATGAAGGTCCCACCACAGCCTGAACAGGTGACTTTAAAGGAGACCACTGAGTCCACTGATCTCAGACTCAGGGGGAGAGAGTTCCAGAGTCTGGGGGCCACAGCAGCAGATGATCTGTCACCTTTGACCTTTAGCCTGGTGCTGCACAACCAGTAGGCTTTGATCACTGGACCTCAGGGACCTGCTGGGGGTGTAGGGACTAAGAAGATCACCAATGTAAGATGGTGCTTGTCCATGTAAGCCCCTATAGACCAGAACCAGGATCTTGAAATGAACCCTGAAGTTGACTGGCAGCCAGTGAAGCTGGAGGAGAAGCGGGGTGATGTGGGTGTGTTTGGAGGACTTGGTCAGAAGCCGAGCACAGGCGTTCTGAACCACCTGTAGACGGTTCAGGGAGGTTCTGCTCAGACACGTGAAAAGAGAGTTACAGTAGTCTAAGCGTGAGGAGATGAAGGTGTGGAGAACTGTCTCAAGTTCAGAGCGGGACAGAATGGGACTCAGCTTAGCAACGTTCCTGAGATGGAAGAAGGAAGAGCGAACAAGAGAACTGACATGAGAATCCAGGGTGAGAGCTGGGTCAAAGGTCACGCCAAGATTCCTGACAGAGGAATAAACTATGGATCCTTTGGAAATGCATGATGGGAATTCCCTATTAGTAGTGAGTTACAAAGACCATTTGTTTTATTTTACAGGTCTGCTGTTGTCTTCAGCAGCAATTGGGTCAGACCCTTCTCGCTCTTCTGCCGTCGCCTTGGTGACCAGTCCTCCAGAACACCATAATCGACGCAAATCCACGACCTCCTCGTCTCCAGAGACAACATCCTCCGCCATAGCTGGGTCTGACAGTAGCTCTCCAACATCTCCGTCATCATTCACTGAAATGTCTCAGACAACAGAATCTACACCCATCACACTCTCCACCGCCCCGGACACCAGCAGTACCATCAGTACTGACTCCACCGCCATCTCCATCAGCACCACGGACCCACAAAGCCCAAGTGGTGCCACCAGTGGCGTCTCTGACATCACATACACATCCATGACCCCCGGCACGTCTGAGACCACAGACGGTCCTACCAGAACCACCTCAGACCCAATACCCTGCTTTACTGACACAACCAGAACCAGCGCAACAACCTCCACCAGCAGCTCCATGAACACCTCCAGCACCACCGTAGCACAGGAGGGACAGATGCCCAGGGCTCTGAGTTCAGGTGAGCAGTCTACCTAAAGCATGGCTAGACGTCGCCCTTCCCAGAGGGCCAGTGCCCGGCATGTTTTAGTTGTTTCTCTGCTCCAGCACACCTGGCTTTAATCAGCAGGTGTAACAGGCTTCTGCAGAGCTTGTTAACCTGGTGAACAGGTGAACTAAGTGGGTTAGAGCAGGGAAACAACTAAAACAAAAATTTCCGTAGTTGCTTTTGTGTTGTTTTAATTATTAGTTTAGTTTTTACATTTTTTAATGTGTTTTTGCCCATTTTAAAAAGTTCCTGCTTTCTGCTGCAAATGAAGACTTTAGGTGTGTTCAGGAGACCAAAGGTGGTCCTTCACCCATAAGGGGTTAAAGCACAAGTCCTTTATTGGGGTCTCGTCTGGGATCTCAGTTTGTCCTGTGACTAATGAGGATAATTAGGATGTGGTTGATGCTTTTATCCAAAGTGACTTATTTATGTTGAGCTATAACGTTCTTAGAGTGTGAAAAGTTTCCACTCACACCTCCTTGCTCTCTAAGATGACCACGTTATTTAAAAGCAGCTGATTGGCTCTTTGCGGTTCATCAGTAACAATGTTCCTCAGCTGCACCAGGATCATTATTCAGAGACTGTGTATAAAGCTACTAGGATTTATTTTCCTTATGCACCAACTTTTGTTTAGCACGTTTTTTCTTTCTGTTGGGTCACTCCGTCCTGCATCATCAGAGCCTTGAACCTGTTAAACTAAACCCGTTGTGTCTCAACTCAAAACCGCCGTGGCGTCATTATGATTCTACTGATTCGGTGCTTGGCTGTTTTCTATTTACGGTGCTCCTGTTTCAGACCTTCTCTCGGTTCTTTGCCTTTAGTAGTTGTTCCTTTAGTTTCCTGGTTTTAAGAAACATTTTGAGCTCACCTGCTGCATGGGTCACCCTAACCATCCCCAAGAGTTTTACGATGTTTAAAGACGTTGTGTAAATTATAAAGTTAATATGATTTAGAGACAATGAGGGGCTGAAAGTGAATGAGTCATTTCTCAACAATCTGCTGAGCTTCTAAAAACATTACAGATAACGCGGAACGGGAACTAAGCGACTGGATGATGCCTTTCTGTTTCTCGTCTTCAGAGCTGACGAGGAGGTTAAAGTTCAGGTTTGTTTTGAGACTTTAGGACCGATAGCAGACGACCAGGTGATTTATCACTCAAACTTTGGTCATGCATGTTTTTCTACACAGCCCGAATCTCTCCTGGAGCTCATTCAGATAAAGGCTGGGCCCCGGTGCAGTCTGTTCCTAACAAGTTTACTAAATAATGTTGTTGTGCAAAGGTCGTTTAGTTTCTCCTGCTGGAGGACAACATTATCTTAAGTCCACAGTCTGCTGGTAGGCAGCAAGTTTAACCAGAAAGATTAGCATCAGTCTGAGTGAGCGTTCAATCGTCGAACAGGAGGAACCAATAACTCGCTCTGATAAGGGAAAATAACTCAGGTGACCCAGAAGTTGTTGTTAATGATTTTAAATGTGCAGAGTGTGCTTTAAAACATCTCCATAAAGTTCATTTAAAAATAAAACACTTCCTGGTTTAAACGTAAGGGCACCCCCAAGGGGTGGCCAGGGCCACCCCTGGCCACCCCTTGGGAAAAGTCAGTGTCAATAAATCATATTAATGTTCAGTCAAACCGTATATTGATCTTGTTTATTCAACCCATAATTGTAAAACAAAATAAAAAGTATACAATGAATAAGTAAAGAAATGATCAAAATAAAAATAAATACCGTAAATCCTCTAATATTAGCCTGTATTTAATTAACTGCCGGGTATCATATTTTGGCTGGTGTCGGAGTCGGCGGAGGTGAATAATGGCCGGTTTTTTACTGTGGCCGGGTGGAATGTGGTAACAAGCAAGTACCACAGGGGGGGCGGTTGTGTCATCCGTCTCACTTTTGATTTGCCAGTGACAGACCGCGAGGGTAACTTTAACCGTGCGGAGACAAAGAGGAGGCGAAAATTTGATATCAAGTTCAAAGAGAACGTGCTGATTATGCTGCAGAACATTCTGGGGAGCAGTAGCAGGGGCTGTATGAACTAGTCACTAGTCGACTTCACCGCTCTATAGTGACTTGTTATGCCTGTCATCGACTAGTCGCTGTCACGTGATAATGACCGGCAAGATGCAGTCCACGGAAAAGACAGCAGCCTGCTTTCAGCAGGTGACAGGTGATGCGCCCCGATCCACAGCAGCGAAATGCATCAGGCACAAATAAAAGAATAAAAGACAGAAAACATAAATGAGCCGACATGAACGATCGCGTATTAAATTAGTTTTTGAGGTGGGGACACCTGATGTGATAATGTTACTGTGGCTGTGCTCAGGACGCAGATGTCTGGAGCGCGTCAACAATCAGAGCTTTGCATGTGCAAGCTGGTTAAGGTTAGGATGGGGGTGAGGGGAATGTTAAATTGCAAGAGGGTGAAGGTCACAATTTGGTTAAATGTCCGTTTTACGGCGGGTGTCAGTACCGACGCTCTGGCACAGCGCGTTGCCTCCTGTGGCCGGCAAGCAGCGAGCGCTCCGCTGTTTCTGCGGTCGGTAGATCTTGTAGAACTGCAGTTCAAAGGTAACTCATGAGGTGAATATATATGAACCCAGGTAGCAGTTTTTCTTTAGGACTGAGAGGAGATGCAGGAAGATAATAAACAGAGACAGGACAGAAAAATAGTCAAATAAAAACAAGTTAGTTTTTGTACCTGCTGGTTGCAACAAACAGACACCATTGAAGGCAATCAGAAGTGAAGAACAGAAAATGAAATAATTATTTTAATGTTTAGAGCAGCAGGAACTCCGAGAGGCTGCAGGCGCATCAGTGAGCTTGCGGCCGCTGCGCGCGGGGGGGGGGGGGTTGCTGAAGCAGAAACTACCGTTGTTAAAAGAAATGTGTTTAACTTTGAAAATGCGGGCGCAATTTTAATTGTCAAAAACTCCAGCGAACCATTAGTTCATTTTGCTCAAATAGAAATGGAAGCTTGCCTCTAATACTGGCCCTCCTTCCAGTAAAGGCCTGGAGCTTGATGAGCTTTAGACCTTAACTGTTGTTGCTTTGGATTTCAGAAGAAAAGTCCTAAAGATGAAATAAAAACACAAGAATTAAATGTGGAATCTCCTTTTTCTAACCTATCGTGTTTCTATCTTCGCTCCAGGAAGTGTTGCTGCTATCGTCTGCGTGTTCATCCTGATGGTGGTGGTGGTGTTAGGAGGACTGTACTATCACAAGTTCAAGTAAGCAAAATCTCACTTTGTTTGTAATGCAAACGTCTACCAAACGTAGTGTTGGCAGCTCTGATCGTGTCCGTTAGGAACCAATGGTTCAGTTCCAGTCACGCCATTAAAGGTTTCTTCTGTTGTAAAGAATGAGTTCAGAACGGGTAAAGTGTTTGGAGTTATTATTTCTTATTAAATCTTTAAAAGTCAGTGTGTAAAAGATTTGATTTTGGGACTCGCAGCCTGTTACAAGGACGTTGGCTTCTTTATATATTTATTCTGTTCAACTTTTAAACTCAGCCAGACTAGATTTTCATTAAAATGTTAGGTAACACTTTAGTTTAGGGAACACAAATTAACCATTAACTTGCTGCCAATTAATATGCAGATTAGTGGACTACTAAGTGTGAATTAGTCATTATTAAGCACTAATTAATAGCTTATTACTAATGCCGTCACTCTAACATTAACAGGCCATAAATAAAGAGTTTTATCATAATAAGCCATTCATAATGGTTTGTTGCTGATTAACGCACATGCTAATTAGCTAAAATCATTATGAGGCTTTTAAAGAAGTAATTCAAGGGGAACCTATTATTGCCTTTAGGTGGTTAATTAATACTAAACTACTAGTAATTAGGTATGAACAAAATCTGACTTTAGAATGGGGAACATGTTCTTGCTTACAAGTGGTTAATTGATTGTTGTTTAGGCTCTATTAACATGGAGTTTGGTGTTTATTTACATAATACCAGAACATAATATGTTTGGTTATTAACTATTGCCCTTGAATTACTTTTTAAAAGCCACATTTAGATTTTAGCTAGCATGTGCGTTAATCAGCAACAAACCATTATGAATGGCTTATTATGATACAACCTGCCTGTTAATGTTAGAATTACAGCATTGTGACACGTTGTGAGCCAAGAGGAGGTTAGGACCCAAAGATGCAGAGATTCCAGATGACACAGGGTTGGTAGAAATAAACGTAAAAATCATTTACTACAGGGTAAATCAAAAAGGGCAGGGAGCCAAAAACCAAAATCCAAAAAGTCCTAACAACAAAACCCAGAGATATCCAAGAACGCAAACAGACCAAGAGAGATTCAAATATCAAGAGAGGGGAACGAGACGAGACTGACACAAACAATGACCCAACAACACACTGAGATGCAGACAGGGTTATATACACTGGTGCGTGGGGAGAGAAACCTGGTGAAAACTATTAACTGGTCAGGGAGAGGAAAGTGAGCAGAGGAGGGGAAACTAACATAACCTCAGAGCAAAAACGAAACCTGAAGACAAGAGCAAGCTAAGTGACTAATGTTCTAGGGAGGAAGGAGAGCTACAAAAACAGGTGGGGAAAGAAACACACTAAAGGAGACTAATTAAATGAAAAGCTGAACCTTATAGAAAAACTGCAGAGGGGTGACTAGGGGAGACCAACGGGAGCACAGGACCTGGGAGGGATAACCTGGAGGGGCTGCAGACCAGGAGACACATGAGGAACACAAGGAGGCACATAAGGGGATCCTTAGAGGGGGATGGAGCACACAAGGAGACACATGAGGGAGACGCAGACCATGACCATGACACAAGCACCTGATAATAGCTTAATAATGACTAGTTCAGACTTAGTACTCCACTAATATGCGTATTAATTAGCAGCTACTTAATGGTTAATTTGTGTTCCCTAAACTAAAGTGTTATTTTTTGCAGAGGCTACATTAAACAGCTTTTCCATCTTCTGTGTTTAATCACTAAATGTTGTGAAAAGGTGCTGGTTTATACTTTGCCTTTGAGGTTTAACTGATCCCAAACAGGCACAAAAACCAAACTTCACACCGAACATGAATGAATTACTGACTGAACGAATGAATAAACAAATGCACCCGTAAATAAATGCTAAGCTAGAGCCTTAAGAGGATACAGCCTGTTGTTACACATCTGGTTTCATTTTAAAGACGTTCACGGGGAACTTTGACTGCTTTAAACAGAAAGACGCTGCGTACAAAATACTTGATGCTTTGAAACGTGTTTACACCCTAACATGTTGAATAATAATGTGAGCACATTTTGTGGCAGCTCAGCTAAATCTTTGTGTTTTTCTCTCGTGCCCTTCAGGCGAGAATCATACGGCCCTCTGCTGGAGAGCAGCGACTACGGTACCTTAGGGAACTTCAGCAACCCCATGTATGATCCTTAGATTGTTGGGACACCTGGAAGTTCTGCAGCCTGAGCCGTTCCGACCACGATGTGTAGCTGAGATGTTCCGGATGGACATTTGTCCTTTTAGGACCTGTGGCTGAGTAGCCCGACTGGTTATGGAGGAAAACGCTGCAGCTGTGGCTGCAGAGGTTGGTCGTCTGATCAAAGTTACAGAAGGCCAGGTTTTTCAGCAATATTACGACTAGATGTGTTGGTCGTGTTTTCACCAAGGCCATGGTTTCTGGCTCCTCGGGTATTATTCAGACAAACTCTGAGATGCGTAATCCTAATTTTCAACGCCCAAAGCAACAAGGGGTGCACATTAAACTTTGTAAAGCCTAAAGTCCGTTTCTATAACAGCAACTGTCAGTATCTGAAACAGAATTAGTCATTAAGATCTTCCAGGATGTTTGGCAAAATTTGCCTCCGTTAATTATTGTAAACAACATTTTGTGCGATCCGTGTTTTTTCAATTCGTACACTGTAAAGAACTGATGATAACTAATAATAATCCCAGATTAGATTTTATGTGAAAAGTTGTCGACACACTGATAATAAAGGTGCATTCTTGCTGAGATAAGATCATTTTCAGCACGTTTATTAGCTGAGGGTGTTTTCTTACTCAGAACATTTTCTTAGTGCAGTTAAAACTAAACGATTGGCCCGTGCGGCGGCGTGTTTGCATACGAAAAGGTTCTCCGACGTAAACATGCTCTCACTGAAACATAGTTTGTTTAGTTTGTTCTTTGAATATGAATAAAAACACATCTTCAGATGTTTTTTATTATAATCTGTTTAACAAGTGACATCAAATCGGAACATTTTCCACAAATCTAAACGACAGCAGCAGTTAGATGATACAATCATTTAAATGTTTAAGTAGAAACGGTGTGAGACACCGGCCGTGCTGAAGGAGTTTAGACTGAACGCACTTACAGCTCGTTTTAATGGGTTTCAGTTACTAAAGCACGAAAACATTTAAACTCATCAGGATCCGTTTCAGGTTCACTTTAGTCGTTTTCTTTTGTGTTCAGGTGTGAATTTAATTGTTTGTGGATTTGACGTTCATGATTGTTGACGTATAAATAATGTAATCTTTATTTTTGTTACAATTTGTGTGAAAAATGAAGCAGTTTTTGATGCTGTGTGTGTGTGTGTGCGTGCGTGTGTGCGTGCGTGCGTGCGTGCGTGTGTGTGTGTGTGTGTGTGTGTGTGTGTGTGTGTGTGTGTTGAAATAATATGTGCAATAAAAGAATGAAGAATCTATTTTTGGTTTGATCCATGATTTTATCATTCATACCAATAAGTTTATTGTTGTTGTTGTTATTTTATTATTATATGAAGTCATCAGGATACAAAAGGAAGCAGGCAAAGAGAAGTCCACGAAAGCGATGCCACTGGGCAGAATGCTGGTGCAGTTTCACTCGTCCAGGTCCTGGTAGTCCACGGGGGGTTTTGAATGACAGCAGCTGAACTTCGGTTTCTTGAAGACATTCTGATTCTCATCTGAGGAGCTTCGTTCATTCTGACTGGAATGTGGAAGGATACCATCCAGGTGCGTTCCACGCTCTAGGCACAGGACCGGGGTGGCCGTGCCCTGTCGGTCCTGGTGCCCCTCTCTGGAATGAGCTCATTATTCCACAGTCACCTTCACTGCAGGTTTTTAAGATGCCTGAAGACATTTCTGTCGTATGGCTTTTATGTCATGGGTTCTCATCTTAGTCTCTTGTGATGTCACAGTTTCATTGATTTCTTTTTAATGTTGTTTTTGTTCATCTTTTGCTCATTGGTGATTTTATTTTATGTTTTGTTCAGCACCATAAGTAAAGATTGATTGATTGATTGATTGATTGATTGATTGATGCTTTCATTTGAACCCTTTGGACGAACCCACTGGGTCACTCACCCACCAGAAACCAGGTCAAACCAGACCGTGTCCACCTTTTTTAAGACTAAGTGGTCGTGTGCAAAGATGGAAAAAGCTTTTGGTGTCACAGCTAGCGATGGGTACCAAATTCGGTACTTTTTAAGGTACCGACCGAATTCCACAGTACCGACTGAGCACCGATTCACGTCATTTAAAACGGTGCCTCATTTCGGTACCCGTCCTTCATAAGGAGAACTTGCCTAGACAATTGCAAGAGCGTTATGTCGTCGGTCGCTGCGAGCCAGTTGTAAACAGAGCAGCATGGTAGAAAGAACGCACGCTAAAGCTTGGGTCCACTTCACTAAATGTGATGGGCAGTGTTGGGAGTAACGCCGTTTAAGTATAACGGCGTTTCTAACGGCGTTCTTTTATAGGTAACGGAATAATCTAATTAATTACTTTTCCCGCCGTTGCAACGCCGTTACCGTTACTGGGGACGGAAGGTTGTGCGTTACTATGTGCTTGTCGAACGTTGAGCAGCAGCGTGAGGCTTTCTGACCGCCACACTTCAGCTGCAGCCAGGGAGAGAGAGGTGTCGGTAACGCACTTACAAACACGATGCTGATTGGCCGGGTGGGCGGAGACCCTCACGGTCTCAGTCACTGCATTCTGTAGACACAACGGGAATAACTCCGTTTAAAATAACCGCGTTAATAAAAATATATATTTCTTTCTGTAACGAGCAAACTAATTAATTACCGTCTTCTTTTATCAAAGCGATCGTTTCTGTTACGGAATGCGTGCATTAAGCAGCGCGGTGTGTTGAAGCTGTCATCAGCTGATCAGGAGCTAAAGGGGCAGATGTTTTCATCCAAGTGTGTCACGGCCCGTGAAGAACGAGGAAGACGTGATGAATATCTACGGCTGCAGACCCCCCGCAGACTTGTTGCTGCAGCAGCGAATCTGCGGGTCTGCAGCCGTGCCCTTAGCGTGACAGCGGGACGTCCCGAAGGTCCGCTCACCTGTTCACCGCTCAGACGTCCTGATCTTCTACCTTCCTAGATCATCCAGCTGTAACCTGTTTCTGATCATGTCTTTAGTCCCGCTGTAACACTGATGCATCAGTCTCAGACGGCATGGAGCTCAGGTGTTATTAGAACTACCTGTGTGTGTTTACCACCCAGCTTCGGCTCTTCTGTGGTTGGGTCTGACCCAAGTTAGTACATGTAAGTCCTCCATCAGGCTTGTGCCTCTTCTAGTGTCATTTTAAAGGATTTTATTTATTTAACCGTTACTAGATTACCAGCAACAGAAATGCTAGTAAAAACACACAATTATGTGAAGCTGGAAAAATTAAAATACTGTGCAAAATTACATTTATTTCTGTAATTTAACTAGACTGAGAGACCATTTAAAGGCTCGGGAACCTTTACAGGTGTTTCTATTTACAATTTTAAATTTTAGCTGATTGGGTTTTTGTTAAATATCACACAGTGACCTTTTAATAGTCTAGATTAGTGTAATGTTCCTGTTAGTAGTTCCTCCTGTTAAGTGCTTATTTGTTTAAATTATTCAGGTTTATATAAAACATTTGGACATTTTATTATGTTCAGTCATTAGTCATTTATATTTTACTATTGTAGTAATTCTTGCATTCTTTAATGAAAAAAGTAACTAAGTAGTTACTTTTGTTGGTAATTAGTTACTTTTATGATCTTGTAACTCAATTAGTAACTGAGTTACTTTTTTGACAAAGTAATCAGTAACTATAACTAATTACTTTTTTAAAGTAACGTTCCCAACACTGGTGATGGGTAACTGGGTGATGATGAAACCAGCAACAATGATCTAAGTGAGACATCCTCATCTTAATCTGCTCCGGTAGGTAAATAAAATGTTTAAGATAACGTTAGCTTGATTTGTTAGCTTCCGTTCCGCTAATGATGCGTTCGCTTTCTCCTCGGAACTCCGAATTTCCGACTAGAAGAACATGAACGCGCTCTAAAGTTTGGCTTCACTTTACTAAATGCGACGGGTGACTGGGTGAAGATGAAACCAGCGACAACGATCTAAGTGTGAGGCATCATTGTTTTAATCTGCTCCAGCAGCTAAATAAACAGTTTAGGATAACGTTAGCTTGATATGTTAGCTTCCATTGCAACCATTGTTATCAGCTAATGGTGCGTTCGCTTTCTCCTCGGAAATTCTAACTTCCCAGTAGGAAAAATAAAAAAAAAGGACGGCAAAAGGAATGAAGATACACAGTAAATTTAGTTCACAGTAAAGATGTTTGCTTCAGTTTAATTATCAGCTTATAAAACTACAAGGACGATGTTAAAATACAAACAGTTGTATGTTATTTATCGTGATATTTATCAAATATTGTTATATATTGAGAAAAATATATATTTTATTATGAAAGAGAATTAAAATATTAAACACTCAAAAGTATCGAAAACTGGTACCATTAAGTACCAGTATCGATTCCTAGGTACCGGGAATTAGTACCGAATCGATTCAAATGTCAAAGGTACCCATCCCTAGTCACAGCAGCAACTACATGCATTATAGGAGCAAAGGGAAGGTAAAATAAAGATTAAGGGGTGGACGACAAGAAAACATGAAGCAGAAATTCAAAACTCCAAATGCTGAATTTATGCACGTTTTTAAAGCTAAAAATAGTGTGTGGATTGAAAATATAGCTGAGTTTTTACAAATATGAATGAAAACAGACCTAACATTTAATCAAAACAAGACTATTTATTCAAGAAATCCAAATTTCTGTTTACAGTTTATTTTTATTCTGAAAATTTTCCATCAGAACTGATTTAGGGGACTGCTGAAGTGCCTTTTCTAAATTCCCTAATGGTGATCATGTAAACAGTCTGTATTTGATATAGCACCTTCTAGAGACTTGGAACCCCCCAAGGCGCTTTTACACATTCACACCTGGGTGGTGATGAGCTACGATGTAGCTACAGCTGCCAGAGGCGCCACCGGTCCCTCCGACCACCACCAACAGGCAAGGCAGGTTAAGTGTGTTGCTCAAGGACACAACGACAGCAACAGACTGAGCGGGGCCCGAACCTGCAACCTTCCGATTACGGGGCGAGCACCTAACTCCTGTGCCACCGTCGCCCCATGTGAACAGTCACAGCAGGGGATGGGAGGGCATCGGGGTGGATGACCTCATCAGTTCATGACTTCATTTTAGGGATCAAAGGTTCTTTCAGGAGTGAGTCAGCAAGGTGCAAACAGCTCATTTCAACAGTTTTTAACCCAAACTGTCATGATAGTGGGTAGTTTCCTGGCCCGAGACATGCAGAATCACACCAGGAGACGGAGGTAAGCACAGCTCCGGGGCTGGGTCTGCTGAGACAAACAACGGTCACGATTGGGCATGGTAGAATACTAGGAGGAATTGGTTTCTGTAGTTACGGTAGGATTGAGATCCAAGATATTGAGGGGGGAGTCAGGACTGGGGCGAGCTGCGGAGGTGAGAATCCAGAATCCAAGGGAGGTGAGCGGTGGGAGAGCAGGTCGGTCCAGTCCTGGAGGGAGATCAGGCTCGAAGGTGAAATCCAGGTTATTGCAGAATTGGTCAGTGGTGAGAGTTCCTGGTGAGGACAAGGCGGAGTACAATCACAACAACGACGACGACTGGTCGTGATCACAAGGCAAAAGACTAAAGCTATTATTTCCATAATGGCAAGAGCTTCCCAAAGTGAGTAATCATCCGGCCAAGTGAAGTGATCTCCCAGCTCCTCATATCCTGGACCGCTTGATTAGGAATTAACTGCAGCTGGCCGCTCTCCAGAACCGCCCACCTGCAGAGACCGAGGTGCAGCACTCACCCAACATCCTGACACAAACCCCCCTCGAGAAAGACAAACTACTGTGCGCTCCTTTTGCCTTCTAGGTAAAAAAATTCACATTGGTCAACGTAAAAATCTACTAAATAGTTTTAAACGTGTCCGCTCTGAAACCATCAGATGAATCTAACATCAGCTGAGACATCCGCCAGAATGCCTTTACGGGTGCAGAACAGCAGCTCCCGTGTTTTCACCCGTCTCAGCAAAGCTCCATTTGCCGTCATTATTGGGCAGCAGTAATTACAGAGGGAGCAGATTTTCCTGCTACGCTGTTATTATCAGGCCCTAAACAGTCTACTCAGTGTATGTGCACGTGTGTTTCTGTATAATTATGCTGCAAATGGGGGGTGCCGTTATTTACTGTCGTAACATCTGGATCGCCTGAATTCCAGCATCACATAATAAAAAAAGGGGTAAAGCGAGCGGATGTTCATCTTCACGGTTCATTTTCTCAGTAGGACAACAAGAGACTCTGAAACTCTGCTCGACGGAAACGCGACTCAAAATAATGTTTTGAGGTTGTGGAG